AGGGGAGTGGCCGCCTCGCTGCTTCCCCAGAACGCGCTCGGCGGGCTCGGCCGGCCACGCGGGCCCTCCTGGGTCGCGGTCGTGCGGGGGGCCGTGGCGTCGAGACGCTTCTCGGGCAGCTTGTTCTTGTCTTCTCGGTCCGTCGCGGAGGTCATAGACTCTTCTGGAGTTGTTGTGGCTTTACTCGCAAGCGTTATGCCGACGGCGCCGTCCTGTGGGCTTCGGTTCGACGCGAGTTGGGAATGCGGGATGCCGTTTCGCCCCTCCTCTACCGTAACTGCCACCTGGAGCCTTCCCGACCCGCCCGTTAGGGCCTATGCGCCCGATCTGCCCGTCTGGTTCTGCCACGTGTTTTGTGCTCCTAGACCCCCCTCCTGCGACTCTCTCTCGTGCTCCATCCTCCTCCTTCCCCCTTGCCCCTCCTTCCATCCGTCCTCTCTTCCCTGCCTCAGGGGCTGCACGATATATATATATATATATATATATATATATGTATATATATACACATATATCTATATATGTATCTATCCCCAAGGGGGTACGATCGAAGACGAAGAGGGCGGGCATCGAGGGTTTAGGATATATGTGTTCAATGGCACGCGATCAGAGAGGAACGAACAGTCTTAAAATGATTGATGTTGTTGTTGTTGTTGCTGTTGCTGTTGCTGCTGCTGTCGCTGTCGCTGTCGCTGTTGCTGTTGCTGTTGCTGTTGCTGTTGTTGTTGTTGTTGTTGTTGTTGTTGTTTGTAGGTGTTTACGTGTTTCTTCTTCTTCTTCTTGTTGTTGTTGTTGTTGGTGGTGCTGTTGTTGTTGTTGTTGTTGTTGATGAATGTTAATTGCGAGTTATTATTTTTGGACCCCTTAAAGGCGCTCTGGCGCTATCGCCGAGGCGCCGGCTACATTTTCATTGAAAACGAGGCTCATGCTCGAGCGGTTTCGGGGACCGCCAAAACCGGCCCCCCAACAACAACAACGCTCTTGCTCGAGATTTCCTCCTTTTGCACTCATTGCTGGTGTTCTTGCTCGCCGCCGAAAGCCGCGCTCCTGCTCGAGACTTCCTCCTGTTTTACCTTGGACTGGTGCGCTAGTCTTTCTCTCATCGGCGCCGCCCCCAGCAAAAACAACGCTCCCGCTCGAGGCCTCCTCCCATTTTTTCTCAAGGCCGTGTTCCTCATCGCCGCCGAAAGCCGCCGCCCCGACAAAACCAGCGCTCCCGCCCGAGACTTCCTTCCGTTTTACGCTTGACTGGCTCCCAATTCTCTTTTGAATTGGCGCCGCTCCCAGCAAGAACAACGCTCTCGCTCGAGGCCTCCTCCCTTCTTACTCAAGGAAGTGTTCCTCATCGCCGCCGAAAACCGCCGTCCCGACAAAACCAGCGCTCCCGCCCGAGACTTCCTTCCGTTTTATGCTGTACTGGCGCCCAATTCTCTTTTGAATTGGCGCCGCTCCCAGCAAGAACAACGCTCCCGCTCGAGATTTCCTTTCTTTTTCCTCGGGACGGTGCTGTTCCTCGCCGCCGACAGCCCCCGTCCCGACAAAGCCACGGCTCCCGCTCGATGCTTCTTCCTCTATCTCGAGGCGGTGTGCCTCCTCGCCGCCGAAAGCCGCCGTCCCAACAAAACCAGCCTTCCCGCTCGAGACTTCGTTATGTTTTGCGCTTGACTGGCGCCCTACTCTCTTCAGCAGTGGCGCCCCTCCCAGCAACCACAGCAGCCCTGCTCGAGACTCCCTCGCTTCCTGTTCAGGGCCAGTCCCATGAGTTGCCACCGAAGATGTGGGGGAGAAGCGGGGCTCATGGGCACATGATGGAATTACAGGATTCCTAGGGTCCACGACGGGATCGTCAGGATCGTGGGGCTTTGATTCTGGCCCGTGAGGGATCGTGGGGCTCCTCGGGCTCCCGAGGGCTCGTCCTTGCCTCGCCGCCGGCAGCCCCCATCCCCACCGAGGCCATCCTGTCGTTTGGCACTTCCTCGTGCTCTGCCCTCCGCCGGGCCACTGGCGGCCTCGCGTCGGCGCAGCAAGGCGCGGGCACGGGTTCTCGAGGCGGGACACGTTGAAATTCCTCGGAGGGGGTGTCTGCAGGAACGCATTGGGCGGGAGATCCGGGAAGGGGAGTGTCGGACCCCGCTAGCGAGCAAGAGTTCCCCATGATGCGGATGGTTCTCATGGTGGTCGCATGCTTCGTGTGGAAACATCGCGCACGAGGGTACACTGATTGTTGTGATTGTTGTTACTGTTGCTGTTGCTGTTGCTGTTGCTGTTGTTGTTGCTGTCGCTGTTGCTGTTGCTGTTGTTGTTGTTGTTGTTGTTGTTGTTGTTGTTGCTGCTGCTGCTGCTGCTGCTGCTGTTGCTGCTTCTGTTGCTGCTGCTGCTGCTGCTGTTGTTGTTGTTGCTGCTGCTGCTGCTGCTGCTGCTGTTGTTGTTGTTGTTGTTGTTGTTGTTGTTGTTGTTGTTGCTGTTGTTGTTGTTGTTGTTGTTGTTGTTGAACTCTCATTCTTGAAGAATAATTATTGTTGACCCCCCCAACCGGTGCACATTGTTTTTTTCAATTGAAG